AATAAAAACAAACAATCTTCTGTTCTCCTATAACAGTAGGCGAAGAACACAAGCTGAAATATATATTATATTATTATGCATTCTTCTTAATTTTCTAGTTTTGTGGTTTTGTCTTTGTTTGTTATTTTGCTTTGTTTCGTTGTGTCTTTATATGAATTAAAATGTTTTTGTTTGTTTTGGAACGGAAAAAGGAAGGGGTGGTATCACTTTGCCAACATTTTCTGACCAACCTTGACGATATCGAAGTTCAAGATAACTGACACGTATACCATTCTGTACTAGCACTTTCTGATAACGGCCCACTCACCTGCTGTCTTCAACAAACAAACAAAACAAAACAAAAGCGGCCATGGATCACGTGGGCTGACCCTGCAGTCAATCTTGCGGGCGGAAATATCGTCACGAATGCGGGCGTCTACCCCAAACGGTAAACACGCCAAGGCCCCGCTCATCATAGCTCACCAGCACGTGACGGGAAAGAACGTGCAGCCATTGACCTACTCACCCAGGAGTAGAGTAGAGCCGTGCCCATTGGTTTTACAATTAAACATTCACGGTTTTTGTTTGTTTGTTTGTTTGTTTTTTATGTTTCCATTATTCACAACAATTCGACGCGTGACAGATATTCGACTTCCGTGTGACGTTCAGGTACAATGGATTTTTGCCTCGTTTTTCTCCAACCCACGGTAAAACTAGTTTAATAATAACAATATAGTATAATTATAATTATCTGAAAACCACAGACATAAAAACAGAAATACTTTGTAGTTGACGTTCAGTAGGTAGAGGGGTTAGTGGAGCCAACAAGAGTTTAAATCGTGGCTCTAAACGAGTCAGCATTCACTAAAAAAAAGTAAAATAAAATCGCAAATAGTACTCGAATAGCATAAATAGTGAGTGACTTCACACTTAGAAGAGTCGAATAAGTTTCGTTTCCTCAATACACCGCCCAGCAGGGCTATCATGACCGGCATCATATAGATCCATACATTGTATTTTCTCTTCCCATCGATACCGTGGTGAACCACAAAATTCAACCCATCCCTCAAATTGAACAAAAGCCGGGGGGGGGGAGCAAATGACAAAACCAGCAACATGGCTTAAATAAAGACAAAAAGGAGAGGAGAAAATCGGATGGCAGTACACGTGAACTGCTCGTAACGTGGGTGTATAGTATGGCATAACAAGGCTGGTGCCGGTATCTTATGTGTTCGTTGTTTTTTGTTTGCTCGTTCGCTTGCGGTTGTTGTTGTTTTTTCGGGGGAGGGGGGTGTTTTACGGCGCTAGCAACTGCATAAGGTCACAATATGAGCGCACGGGACACACCAAATATTTTCAGTTAGTAGGAACACTTGAATAGGGGAAGTTAAGAAGTAGGAGTAGGACTGTCAGAGGCAACCTCCAGCCACCCTCGGTGACCGTTTCAAAGCAGTGCGTTCATGTGGCAGTCAGAGTTCAAACCTCCGAACTGCCGGCGTACGCTGTAATGGTTAGGAGCTTCGCTGTCGCACGCAGAAGACCCGAGTTCGAGTCCCGCGTTGGCATTTTTTTTTTCAAAATAAAAAAATCTCGATTTTTCCGCATGGACATATTTTATTCCTTTCAGCTCGGGCTAGCCCTGACGGGCAGGTTCGAAGCCCGCCTCCTGTTGTTGTTATCGATCCAGACGCCCGCCTCCGAAATGAGACAAATTGTGTTGACGGGGTCGTAAAACACGAAAATAAGACTTTTAAAAAAAATCCTTATTATCTCTCATATCTGCAAAAACTTAATCAGATAAATCAAGAGCTTTGTTAACTTCTCAAACAACCGCACACTCCAAGAAGATCTATCTGGGAATTGAACCCACGACACGAGGAGGGTAGTGATATAGTCAAGCAATCAGCCTATGTGTCCCTTATAAAGGGTGCCCAATGCGGATGGGAATGGGTCGGGTCTAGTCTGGTCGGGTTGGGTCGGGTCGATCGCCAGGACTAGTCGCCTGAAAACAAATGCGTTTTTTTCTGAGGCGACGAGTCGGGCGC